ATATATATATATATATATATATATACATATATATATATCACGGAGACAGACAGAGAGAGAGAAAGAGGCTTCGGTAGATTCCAGGTGCTTGTCGTTCACTGTAGCTGTATAATTTCTGGGTATGGTGAAGCGGCGGTTGTGCATTTGGTGGTCCAGCAAATGAGTCTCTCATCTGTCTGCTTTTGCGCAGCAACTGATGTTACACGGAGTGACCCATTTGACCCTCCACCATCGCATTTTCAAAATTTGCTTATGCAGAATTTCTCAACACTGAGGAGCCCATCGAAAGTCCTCTTGTCCTGCACATCGTTGAAATACAGGTACAACAGTGAGTGGCTTGGGAAAGTGTTTCTAACCTGGAACATAATGATATTGTAGGAGCCTGTAAGCCAAGCAAGTGGCTGCAAGGATTACAATGATGAGCGTTTGTCAACGTACGAACCTGGCTCAGGGATGGGGCCCAATTCAATTCTGCCAGAGCTTCCAGCTGTAAGTGTGTGCTTATACAGTGGTTCTGCTGAAGATACTTGGTTGAAGTAGAGCTGCTTCGCCTCCGATGATGGGACGACTTCTATCCAAAGCTTGGCCTCTGTTTGAACCCCATAAGAACGAGTCCGCACAGCAGTACTGAAGTGTACCTACCAGGATCTGACGGAGCATTTTCATAGAAAAATGTTGGCCGTTGTGTCGGCAAGAAGTGACTGGAGAGAACGACCCTATCTTTCATGAAAACAATTCTGGACAATCTGCCACTTACCGGTTGCAGGGGTGAAGACACACGTTTTCGCCGGCACAAGACTGCAATCACTGGCAGCTAGCATGAGCTTTCACCCCAACAGAGCCATTTCAACGTACCAAGTGTGTGTGGTTGGGGCATGTTATTCGATTGAGTTCAGATTGCAGTCGCGGTTCCCCACCACAAAGCAGATGATGCATGCCCAGTACAATCGAAAAAATGCAGAAAAGAAGTGAAAAGTGCATCTTCAAGGACACAAATTGGAGTGAGCCACCTTCGGATGGGCCACGAATTTCAAGGGCAGGCTGCAAGCTATATGTGTTCAAATGCTAACCAGGCCGACGAGCGGGAGTGCAAAATCTTTATGAGAATTGGAGTGACGACTTCTTATGAAGGCGAAGCAGCCTTGCGGAAGCTGCAGCACGCGTCCAGTGTACGTGCACTGCAGAAGACGCACGCTGACGTGCCAGAAAGGTAGCATTCTGTGCAGCACAAATAGTGAATTCAGTGTAATTGGTCCCACAGTAACCTGCCAATCCAGTTTAGCAGCAGTTACTGTGGTACCGTCGGTGTTACGAGCGCTTAAATAATGCTGTGTACTCTGTACCGCTGCAGGCGAATGCAGTAGGTCAAAGCAGAAGACGGGTTCTGCGGAAATTCCTTCCAACACAAAATAGCAGCAGCTCAAAGGCAGCGACAAACAGTCTGCAATTTGTGCGGCACGGACTACAGTTTTGAGGATTCTGGCGACGCACCGCAGTGCTTGTTTTGCATCGTGTCGGTTCAAGCAACGACAGCTCAACGCCGGATTCCGTTTGTTTCTGTCCCACGCCTAGCATACAGTAGCAGCATTTCATTGAACTTGTTGAATTAATCTTTCATCCTGCTCAAAGAATGTGACTTTCGCCATGTTGGGAGGATTTTGTTGAGTCTTGTGGTACAGTAAAGTAGTCAGACGTGGATCGGATGCTAACGACTGACTACTCGGTGTGCCTTGCATGCTTGATGGGCTCCTGGGGTGTGGTACCATGTGTGCTGCTGCTTTGAGTAAACCTGCCAGAAACGTGAGGCCGTTATGCAAACTACTTTTTAAACGCACATTCTCTCATATTGTGGTCGGCAAAGTCTGCCATGGACTATGAGCCAAGCAATCAGCGGCCATTCCGATTCTCACACTCCAGCGATCTCAACCCTTCAAATTTTTACCAAATGGTATTCGTAGTCTTGTGGAGCTGACTCTAATTTGCATAAGAAGATGCTCTCAGGAAGTGGCGCAGACCATCTAATCGGGTGAGCAAACAGGCTCTGCTGCATTGAGTCGGGGGAGCTAAACATTCTCATCTGCAAAATACGCATTTTAATACCAAATTCCTATTCAAGATAAAAGAACACAGAAACGTTGTGGCTGGTCCCAGAAGAAGTAGCTGCCGGCATTAGGGCTATTAGAAGAACAGCCCTTCAGTGCGGGGATAGGTGGCTCGTGGCTGACTCTGCCCCGTCCCATTGAATATTCCCGTATTGGGTGCATGGCTTTCAGAATCTGAACATGGCTGTGCTCTCCGACAAAGGATTGACGTGCAGCAACTCACTGTGCAGGCAGCGTGACTTCCTCCCATTCACCTGCAACAAGTGCGGCAAAGTGGTAAGCGATGCATCAGCATAAGTTGCATTTTCTGCAATCCTGCATCTCCAAGGAAACTGTCTTGTAGACACTAGTCCAGCTGCACTGCACGTCTTAGTGCTTGGGGTTTGACTCTGAACCAACTAAGTAGCTCCCCAGTTGTTCCTACGGTTGTTGGACAGTTCTGCTTGGAACACTACTTACCAGATGGCCACTCATGTCCAAGGAAGAATGCAGGAGACCGGCGAGTGTACGTCTGCCAAGACTGTCTGGAAGTCATCAGTCTGGTGAGCATATACAGGCCAGCGGAATGTATATGTAGCCAGTCACAGTGCAGCCTGCTTCTTACGTACTAGCTGTAATGAGGCCCATATCTTCACTGTAGTGCTTGGGCAAACTGCACTTGCTGCGTTTCTACGCCATTTTCCTCCGCCGCAGCAAGAATTAGAAACAGAAGAAGAGGCATCAAGACGCCACCGTGCGCAATGCAGGCCTGAGTTGCGGGGTCCTAGGGAACAGATGAGGAAGGGGAAGCGTTGCCCAGTGAAAGGGTGCAGAGAAGTAAGCCAAGAAAAGCTGAGGGCATTCCTAATAAGTATTTATTAAACGACATAGAGAACGTCTGCACACTCGATTGTTTTACACAATCTTACAGAGGTGCCGCTGACCCACTCTGGTGGTTCGATCAGCTTCATTTGCGTATGTTTTGTGTGTCTGTTGCAGCGACTTACCCCGATTTCATCTATTAAATGTCCGAATTGTCAGGTGGATGTGTGCATCAAACACCGACTGAAGGAGGATCACAACTGTGAGGTGCTCCTCTCCACCAGAGGCGAACGGAAGAGGAATTCCCTGTTTAAGAAGCTGTCGTCCAGCGCTTCGAAGGGGATGAAGTGGCATTCGGAGTCTACCAAAAACTCTGGTGAGCTCCATGCTTCCGTACTCTTCAGGTAGGAATGTGACACAGCAGAGAGTACTAAAGCCTAAACCTCCCATTACTCAATATATTCACGACCTTTTGCAGATTACACACTTCCTACCGCACGTCCTACTTACGGGCAAGCCAATAATCTCATGCAGTGTACACAATCCTCCATTTCAGATGCTGCCACGCGCGCATCTCCAGTAGGACCTCCACCAGTTGAAGGTTGTGAATGCGATGTCTATGCTTGCTGGCGGCCAGCAGGAGTTCACAAGGATCGTCAGGTGTGTATATCCTCCCACGGAACATGGCTACCACTGTAAAAGCATACTGGCAGTAAGGTAAGCTGCTTCAAAAACGAACATGCGGCACATGATTTTGATGCTGTTGTATGCTTGTGCCGTGCAGGGGCAGAGAGGCGGCATGTGCTTGATCATGTGATGCCGCACTGACCGTGTCGTTCAACGTGGTTCCTATCCACTACTTAGCTCGACAGAAACCGAAAATGTGCAAAGTTGCAGTTGGAACCCATCTTTGCCTGGCCACCCAAAAGCCCCGGCAGCTCCCGAGTGCAGATATTTAGCGCAACTGCACTTCAATACCTAGAGCCCTTTTGGCATGTAGAACTGCCTCAACTCCTACCAGCTAAACTTGGACTTGACTAGCCGGGCAGCTGACAGACTGCACGCCCGTGCCTTGCAAGTAATACGGGCGACCCGCAGCTGTGAAAAGCAAATATGAATTTCCGGGAAACAATGGAAGTCTTTCGCGCTGCATCACCGCAGCACGAAGCATATCGCCCCTAGCACAACATGGCGAGAAATTTTGCTCATACAGCGAATTCCTAAAGCGGAACTGTGCCCAGTGTTCACATTAGCGGTTGTAATGCGATACGGTCCACAATAATGCAGGCCGAGACACTTCCCTAGCCCAATCAGCAGTCTCTCCTAAACATGTGCGCATTTACAGCTTGTCGTAGTAGTGGTCGAGAGGGGGGATTTCGGGTTTCAAGTGCTTCCTGGTACGGATGCTCTGTACCAGGGTCTCCATCTTGCTGCCCTTCTCAAGAGGGTCGCCGTTGAGGCAGCTCCAGTGGTCGAACACACACTGAGGGAACGCCTGCCCTGAAGTTGCAGCACGCAGGGCCGTTGTGAAACCAAAGGACTCCGCGACAGGTAGGTATGCACGGAGAACCACAAGAGGGTTGCCAGGTTTGCTGTCCTCCTCGAACACGTGTCCACGACGCATGAACAGAACCGTATCAATGCCTTCCATAGAATCGCGGGGCACAGAGATGTCCACCAAGAACATCGGCTCCTGAAGACGAGGTTGCGAGACCAGTTGTGCAGCGTACAAGACACGGCGGCACGTAGGCATGATCTGGCCAGCACCTCTGTGAATGGCATCCGCATGCATGGTGACATCGGTCAGGTTGAACCGGATGCCACGCATGTTCTCCTCACACAGCACACCCTCCTTGCTTGCCCACTGGAAAGCAGAGTTGCAGTGGTCCTTGATTTCGTTGAGGTACTGAACACCAACCGTCATATCGACCAGAATATTTGGACCGGACGTTTCGGGTCCAAAGCACCAAATCTTCATCGCATGGTTCTTGTCGAAGTCGAATTTCTCGCTCAACTCGTTGGCACGTTCCTTGGGACCGTCCTTTGAGCTGATCTTGCCGGACTCAATGGCCTCGGGGAGTCCCTCTGGAAGAGGTTCTGCCGTCATATACAGCCTGTTGTGTTTGTTGGGCGACTTGGACAGGCACGTCATGGACGAGGGAGCGGTGACCGTCTCACGGTACGAAACAACGGGATCCGACACAATGATGTCGATCTGGGCGTATTCCTCTTTGAGATCTTTAAGGCAAATCTCCACGTGCAGCTCGCCGCACCCGGCAATGATGTGCTCACCGCTTTCTTCGGTTGTACAGACGACCAGAGGGTCAGACTTCGACAAGCGCTTCAAACCCTCCACAAGTTTTGGAAGTTCCTTCATATCCTTCGGCTTGACGGCGACACGGACAACGGGAGAGACGGAGTATTTCATATCGGCAATGTTGTGGGCTTGGTCGTACGTAGTAAGGGTGCCAGACTTCAGCAAGAACTTGTCGACACCGACAAGGCAGCATGTGTTTCCGCAAGGTACATCCTGCACCTGTTCAACATACTTGCCCATCATGATGACAGTACGCTGGATGGTTTTGATAGTCAAGTCGGTCTTCTCCCCAGGAACGTAGTACGGGCCCTGAATGCGCACCTTCTGGCCAGTGGCGACAGTGCCAGAGAACACACGACCGAATGCGTAGAACCTCCCTTTATCTGATGTCGGCACCATTTTGCTGACATACATCATCAGCGGAGCGTTGGGGTCACAGTTGCGAATGCCGTTGGCGGCCTCGTCGTCCTTAGGTCCCTCATAAAGTGTGTCCACACGGTACTTCTGGGCCTCCCACGGAGAAGGCAGATGACGGACAATCATCTCCAGCAGGCAGTCACCAGCCGGCAGCCACAACTGCATGACGCGCTTCAGCAGGGCCTTGCCACTCAGGTCCTTGTCATCACCCTGCGAATACACATAAAGCCAACCATGATTCAGCACCACTATAGCTACTCCTCAGACACTTGAGCTTCACAATCAACACACTGGAATGGAACGAACCTTCAACTCAATCCCAAGAGTTGTCAGCATTTTCTCGTATTTGTCCTTCTGGTCGTTCATGATGGTGCTGAAAAGTTTGCAAATAGGGTCCATGATGAATTGGCAGAAGGCGCGCTGAGAGCCTTCTGTCTGTGTCCTAGTCCATTTCTTCTCCTTCGCGTTGTAGAAGTTGTTGCCCCACAGTCGCTGCATCATCTTTTCCTTGGGCACGTCAAACTTCGCTGCATATAGCTTTGCGAACTTCTCAATGGTGAATGCCCACCCGTGTAGGCCAGAGCCGAAGGAGACTGTTCCTTTTTCGGGGAACACCTGCATGTCCCCGACATTCTCATCACTGCATGTCGAAATGATAACATTAACGTTTTCGACGTTACGTTCAAAAGTCAGGTAGATCTCCTCGGGTTCCATCTGTAACTCGAGCAGCGCACGATCGACCTTGTTCACGTGCAGAACAGGCCTAATTCTCTCCTGAAGCGCCTGGCGCAGGACAGTCTTTGTTTGCACGCAAACTCCATCGACAGAATCCACGACGACAAGGGCACCATCAGTAACACGAAGCGCGGCCGTGACCTCAGAACTGAAGTCAACGTGTCCTGGAGAGTCGATAAGGTTGATCAGGAACTCCTGTTCTCCCTTTCCATCATCCAAGTCTTGCTTAAAATACAAGGAAATACCAGTACTTTTAATGGTAATGCAACGTTCCTGCTCGTCTGCGCGGGTATCGGTGAAACGAGCAGTGCCCGACGCCTTTTCGGAAATGATACCGGCCTTGCACACTAAGGAATCCGTCAGAGTACTCTTTCCGTGGTCGACATGGGCAATAACAGACATATTCCTAATATTCTTAGGATTGCCCATAATCTCGCGCATCTGATCCACTGAAAAATTCACCTGAAGCGTACATCACACACGAAGACGCATACCATCACCGCCGAATCCAATGGCTACATTATCTCCAGACACACCAAAAGCCTTTAGAAACCCATGAAAATTTGCACAGGCCATCGTCAAGGGAGACAGAACCTTCCCCCCCTCGCCAATGAGATACCCCCAGCCACCGTTTGCCGGCTGCCGAGGCCCCACAGGCCTGTGGCAAACTCAACCGCTTTGCCCCATCGTGCTGCGCGGCATTGTCGTAGGGGGGCCATCACTTGGCCTTTTTACCCACAAAAGAAGCTGCAGCGTCCCCCTAACAATGAATGCACCGGCGAAAAGACGCCCCCCACAAGTTACTGAATGATGACAGCGACATATCCATGCATCAGGAACTCCCCCAAAGACACGTCGGTTGGTACACAATGCAACAATTTAATCCATTCCGGAAAAGACGATCAGAAAAGGGGCCCACAAGCAACCCGATGCGGCGTGTTACAATGGACGCTACGTATGCGCCGCATACCATTTTCGAAAGCGCGTGAAGGAGAGGGGGCGGCTAGAACCGAAAGCTGAACTCGAAAGGCAAATCCTCTTTGCCACACTTCTCCCTAATTAGAGCATAAACAACATGGATGATAGACAAGCAGCAACGTTATCAGTGCAACAGCTCACGAAACGTGGGGACGCCTGTGCAGCCGCTGGCGGCAGCGCAGAGGGGCTGCGTGTAGCACTGGCTGGTGGCTGGAGTTCACTATGCTGCGTATAATGGTCAGATATACAGGCAAATATGCCCGCATCTGTTCATTACTTGAATTTATTAGAAGGAATTATGGAATTTCCCAACTGATTTGGGTAATTAGCCCGGGGTGAATTTGCGCTATTGGCGCTTACGGTGGGCTCGATTTGAAAACGCGACTGCTGTGCATTGCTGCCGTGACTCCTAACAAACCACTTCCTTTCGACGTTCCGGACCAATAGAAGGATTCCTCATCCGAACGAAGGGCAATTAGATTATCTGCAGATTCAGCAAGCTTGGCTTCGAACGCAACCTGCTGAGCGTCGCCATTTGGGGGGTTCTCTTAGCCCTCCGCAACCCGTTGTCTCAAGCTGATATTATATGCTTGTCACCTTGTGCACAAGTTGGCTGCTGAGGGCCGAGTAGGTGTTAAACAGTTCCGTATAGGGTTGATGCAATGCAGGGTCTTGGATCTTGCCCGATGCCTATTGTGAGAAACGATGGAGCTACAGCTGGGTCCGGGTGAGAGTCACTTGAAGCCAAGTGACCTCTCTTCCCAGTCAACAGACATCCTGAGAGCAGATGTTCAAGCTCCTGGAGCTGCAGAAGAGGACGGGGCCGGCCATGGGTCGCAACTCACCCTGCTGCAACGAAAGGTGCAAGATAGCCCTACAAGCATGCTCCAGAAAGCATTCGTGACTGTTTGTATGAACCCCGCAGATAGCTGTTGAAGGCTTCTGCTTGCTTTCATATTAGCGTACTCCGTCTGAAGTCGCCGTATTAACCCCTATCCGTCCCTACTAGTCAAGCGCGCGCAGCCACTTGGGCGTGGGTCCTGGAGCATCATAGTCTATCGCCAGTTGTTGCATGAACACACACTTTGTCTTAGTTGGCAATCAGCATTCACGTAGGCACGGTGCACGCAAGCAGAAGTATCCAGAATCGCTCTACTGGGCTCGTGCATGCAGTGGAATACGTGCTTCTGCTTGCTTGTGAGGCTGTCTTGCAGCACGAGCAGCAGCCAGGAGCGTCGCAACTCACGACAGGCCGCCTCAACTTACCTAGTTCCAGGAGCTTGGGACACTGAGCCCAGGACTCTTCGAAACTAGGGAGTTACGGGAGGTACTTTTACAGAGCGGAGGCATACACCACAACCACTGTTACATTTGCATCCGAAGAGTTTATGCGTACAGAATTGGTGCATGCACCAAAGCCGGTTTCTTCTGGAGTTGCCTTCCATCCGGAGATGCAACAAGAGGCGCTGGAACTCGTGATAGGCTGCGTCGTCGCCACAGGATTGTCAACCCCAGGGCTCCGCTCTGCAGGGACCAGGACCCCTAAAGGCTGGGTTTAAAACTGCTTGTTAGAAACACTTATCTCAAGTATTTTGACTCGGCTGTGACTCGCTACTTTCCTGGGATGAGGCCGGCGATTTTAGTTGCGGAATTGGTGTGGCAGCGGACCTAATCGGTCTATTGGGCTCCGTGCAGTGATCGGAACGCTGAATGAAGAGAAATTCTGCTAACGGGATAGGTGGGAGCATCTGTCATAATGGAGACGAACAAAGTGTTCAGCACCTCATCATACAGGAATAGCATTGCACAAAGTCGGCTGCTGCTACTTGGCGTGGGTATGCAATATGCTGCATAAGGGTGAGGCACGAGACTTCCAAAGAGTTTGGAAAAGTTGGGCAAACACCATCGCAGTCTCCACCGGCTTGGGAGTTGCTCGATGGGGTAAGTTGCCTAATGCGGATATGAGACAAAGGAGTCTCAACGCGAAATATAGCTGGTCCTTCTTTCAAATTTCCACAACGTCAACTGTATGAAGTGCGGGATTCTAGTGGCTTCCCGCTGAAGTGAACTTGAGATCAGTTTGCCATACTGAGACAAGAAACAGCTTTGGTTCTCCCCTATTCATGAAAGCTGTCTCACTGCTAATGGATACGGACGAATCAAAGCTGTTTCTTGTTAGTCATCCGAATTTTTACAGTGAGCTGGGGCAGCGCAAGCCTAATCGAGTTTTATCAAATAGGCGACAGGTTCAAGTAAGGCTCTGTACTGTATCCGTACTGTAGTGTATTCCTACTTTAATTGCCATACTCTGTTTACGAGCACATTGTACCGCTCAGAACACCAACAACAATGGACCAAAGGTTCATCCTGGTGGCGGATCCATCCTGAAAACGGATCTACACAGCTGAGAACATGATCAGTGAACGTTGCGGATTCTCTCTTCTCGGGTTTTTGTTGTGCAACTGGGAAGCACCGGTGTTTCGACGAAACAGCCCTTCACGCTCCACTGGTAGGTAAAATCAGAAGCCTACAAACCAAGTGACGTGCTTCCTAAGGCCCCAAAGATGAATGTAAAATCTTTTGGGGGGCTCATCTGTTAAGCTGATGTGTTTCTGAAACGACGGAGTCAGTTATGTGAAAGCGCAGTCTTGCGATGAGCAGCTAGCTAGCTGGATCTTTGGTGAGACTAGCACATGAGTCCTTTATAGAGAGCTTGATGTTGACTAGATATACGGGATGGTGGGGCTTGAACAGATTTGTGGAAATCATGACAGGGGATCTGCACTAGCCTTCTCAATGAGCTGGTTGCTAAAGAGTTGGTTCCACTGGGCGTACACGAAAGTGCAGAACTAAACAACTTTTCTCTAATCCCGAGTAATTTTTCCAAACTAAATGCCGAATGATGATATAAATTCTGTATATTAGGCGTTTTATTACACAGTTCCATCGGCGTTCATAACCGTCAGCGGCTGGGACAACCGTCGATGTGGCCCACCGGTCTGCCGCCCCAAACTGCAGTTGCACGCGCTCTTGGGAGCTGATTTGCCCTTTTAGTTGTTTTAGTCAATTAGGAGCTATTGTGTAAACTTTTAGGAAGGCGTTTGCAGCCACCTCTCCCTCTGGCACGACGGTACAGGAATTCTGCCAGACGAAAGGACCACCGTGGGGCTGATATTGCATTACGAACTTCATTCGCAGTGCATGAAGGCGACAACTGTTTTACCCAGAAACTGCAATGTGTTCATCCTACAGCGGCTGAGTGGATTCCTGAAGTTGCTCAATACACACGAAGCGAGCACACCCGTGCATTCTCCAGGATTAGCGAGGGCCTCTTCGGCTGGGGCTGTCGGTGAGTTGGCTCACAAACAACAGCCCCTTCGTTAAATACAAACTACCAGAGTCTGCTGCCCTGTCAGTTTGTCAATTCATCAGATGCAGTCTTCTCAGAGGCGCTACGCCTTAGCGATTGGCACCGCAGGGCCGCTTCGAGATCTCTGTCACTCGCACACGTAGTAACCAGCGACTTGTGGTTTTTGCTCTCATAGAAGACGTCGCCATATCGCAGTTTGGCTGCCCCCATCGAACGGCAAAGTATTGAGCGCTTCCGACCGCTCGACACAGGATGACAGACAAGGTGGAGTCCGAGGCCAAAACGGCGGCCTCGCTGGTTAAAAAGGGTTCTGCAGTGAGTTTTTACGTAGTTTCTGCCACGTTTTTGACTCCAACAACACGCTTAGGCATATTGCCGTACTGGGGAGTAGGAAGGGGAGGGTTACGAGGTACCCCTGTTTCTGCTCGGGTCCAGCGCCCGAGATTCAGGCTATTCCAGCATCCAGTCGTACACCAAAAGACGTTGTTCAGCTCCAGCTCGATCTGCTGGTACTTATGGCTGCGTACAGGTGGTATTTATGCAAAATGACGTTGCAATTCCCAAAGTGGAAGTGTGGGCAATGAATGCCCCAGCAGTCAAAAGCGATCCGGATCTGATGTTTGCTCTCTGCTCCGTTGAGCCATCATCGACTGCCACAAAACTATTGTTGAAGCAGAAGGTGCCTCCCAGCGATGAGGTGTGCCTTCAGAACTCGTGGTCCACTTACGTCACATCGTCCGTTGCCTCTAGTGCCTTCAGGGTTCTCCTGGAGCCTCTGAGGACCCCTAAAATCCCCTGAGCCCGCAGTTGCTGTTCCGACGGAGCAGGGCGAATGACTTCCCTTCCAGTACGTTCTTAAGAAGGCTCAGGTATTGCCATTTTTGTGTTTCTTCTGCGCTGCTGCAGGTTTTTGAGGCATCGGTCAACCAAGTGTTCAATGCAAATACAAACTTGGACCCCATGGCGTACAACGACATTGGAACTATCCCTCATCAGAACATCCCGTGTGTCTTGGATTTCTTGCGAGTTCGCTACATGAACAAGGCAATGTATACAGCAGTTGAGCCCCTAATTGTTGCCATTAATCCTTTTCAGGATCTGGGTAACGGGACAGCGGAAGTTATTGCCCAATACCGTGATGCAGCCGATTGCGACAAACTGCCGCCGCACATATTTCAGGTATCAAGACGCGCAGTGGAGAATCTACACGGGGTGAAGAAAAGCCAAACAATTGTCGTATCAGGAGAGTCTGGAGCCGGGAAAACAGAAACAACCAAGCAATTGATGAAGTACTTCGCCAGCGCCCGGTCGGGAAATTTGGATGCGCGGATCCAGCAGGCTATTATGGCGGCAAATCCTGTGCTTGAGGTCGGCCCTCATTTTCTTTTGAACCGATGAGAGGTGTTACATATGGTGCATGCAGAAAAGCAGAGCGCCAATGCTGTTTCCTGCTTAGAGTCCTTAATGTAATTGTAATGTAAATGTCTCGGTCGTTTTCTTCTGTGTGTTGTGCGTTTTGAATTGGCCAGGCTTTCGGCAATGCGAAGACGGTCCGCAACAACAACAGCAGTAGGTTCGGGCGCTTCATGCAGCTGGATGTGGCCAAAGGAGGAGGCATTCGCCACGGCTCCGTTCTCGCGTTTCTGTTGGAGAAAAGCCGAATCCTTACCCAAGTAAGGAAGTATGCAGCAGCACTTTCCGCCTTTCTTGCTTGTAGGAAACAACTGCTCTGCAACTCTCCGGAAGCATGAAGTTTTGATTTTGAGCAGCTGTGAACTTCTCCGGAGCGTGATTGTTCGTCAAAATGTTGTTAGGACCGGAACGAGCGTTCGTACCACATCTTTTACCAAATGCTCAAAGGAAGCTCCCCGCAAATGAAAGAACGGTACAAGCTGCTAGACTGTAGCAAGTACCAGTTCCTCAACCCACACTGCGTAGACGCGCCCGGTAAGCCAGGTACCACCCTTGGTCGTACGGATTATTCGAGCTGATATGACGACGAGGGGATACGCAGGCCTAAAACATGCTGGCGCTGATCTGTGTTGCTGACATTTAACTTGCACAATCCATTGTCCCTGTGAATTTGAAGGGGTCGACGATCTCAGTGAATTTGAATCGGTGGTCAAGGCATTCGAGTCCATGGGCTTGAAGGAGGAGCAGCGTCACACTATATGGTCCGTGGTGTCAGGAGTTTTGCTGCTTGGCAACGTGGCAACAGTCGGTAAGTCTGCTAGTCGTTCACATCTTCTATGTGGGGTTGTTTGCCCTACTGCTGTTTTTAATATGATACGCGTCGCGGAGCAGGCATGTGGTGGGTCAACGGTTGAATTTCTTACAGCTACTTGCTGTGTTGATCTCTGCTGGTAGCAGCGTCACAGAAGGGTTGTCGTATTGGCTGTCGTTGGTCCGTCAGGTAAGAAAGAAGGCGGAGTGGAGAATGCTGCCGTTATAGCTGGCGAAAGTGCTCGCGTGCTAAAGGACGCCTGTGACCTCCTGTTTCTGGATTCTGAGCGCATCATGAGGGAGTTGACCGTAAAGGTTACTTATGCTGGTAAGCAATATTCCCGCGCAGCTTACCAGAGTTTTTCTCTGGGGAACTCCAAAAAAGAAGAGGGCAGTGGGCTTGCGGGCTGTTTGTCGCCAGAAAGAGCCGGCATACTCCATGCATTTATTGCCAATATTCGTTCCTGACTAGAAGCTTTGTGCCTCTGTCTTCAAATGCGGTTCCCAGGAAACAACAAAATCGAAGGACGCTGGACAGTTGAAGACTCCGACATGTTGCGTGGCTCTCTGGCGAAGGCGGTGTACGAGAAGCTGTTTCTATGGATCATTCAAGCGCTTAACTCCACTATAGAGCCAGCAGGAGGATTTCAAACATTTATGGGTAAGAATGCATTTCATGTCGCTCCCTCTCATCATACCTCGAGCTGCTTACACCCCTTAGCGTAAGTAAAGGATGCCTTGTTGCGGCCACTGTTGGAGGTGGGTTTTTAGGGCTTCTGGATATTTTTGGTTTCGAAGTCTTCCAGAACAACTCTCTGGAACAGTTGTTCATCAACATTACCAACGAAATGCTTCAGGTCAGTGCCAGTGTGCAGGTTGCATAGTTCCATGGGGTTATGCCGATTTAAGCAGAGAAACGGAACATGCATAATTAACCTTAGCTATCCCCTAATCTAATCTAGTCTGTCTGGTCATAAGCATACTTTCCATTTTTAGGCGCATCACTTCATACTGCGACTCTGATTTTCGGCGTGCTGCTTCGTTCAGAGCACGTTTACCGAGGTAGTGTTTGCTCGAGAGAGCGCTCTTTACAAAAGCGAAGGAATTATAGCGAAAGACATCGAGTTCACCACCAACAGCGACGTGATAAGCGTGTTGATTGACAAGGGTAACTCCATCCTCAGCATCCTCGAAGACCAGTGTTTGGCACCTGGTAAGCGCCAATGAGATCAAAGCTATTCAACTACGCTGGTTAATGATTCCTCTTGCGCACTCCACTGTTGAGCTGGTGAGGAACGTTTCTTTCTTTGCAGGAGGCAGCGACGAAAAGCTCGTTAGCGCTTGCTGTACGAAGCTCAAATCTTCTTCAAAGTTTGTGCCTGCCAAACTTGATTCTCACAGCGCTTTTATGGTGAAGCAGTCAATAGGGACAATCAAATACAATGCACAAGGGTTCATTTTCAAGAATAAGGACGTTCTACGGCCGGAGATGGTCGAAGTCGTGCAGGTCTGCTAGCACCGAAAGTCATGTACACCAAACCAAAACCCCAGTTCGGTGGTTTTGGTGTGTAAAAAACACACGTAGAAGTGCCTGCTGGCTCATAGCCAGCGTGTGGAGGATTGGAAATTCGGATGCCGTATTCTAGCCTTCTGCTGCTTACCGGCATCTCATTTGAAAATGAGATACCGGTCATTTGCAATCCCTTACTCAGTCTGTGTCACTATTAGCAAATGCTGATATTTAGAGTGTTGGGTCAGTCACTGGGCGTTCTTGTTGATCAGGCTTCGGGGAACCCAGTGGTACGGGCTCTTTTTGAAGGTGTGAAGGTTGAAAGGGGAAAGATGGCGAAGGGATCTCTGATCGGGTCACAGTTCCTAGCGCAGCTCAACAAACTAATGTCACTGATAGGGTCAACAGAAGCCCACTTCATCAGGTGACTAGCAGCTGCAGAGTAAACCATAAGGGAGTGCAACAACACATTGTAGGGGTGCGTCAGGAGAGAAGGTCTTAGTGCAGTAAAGCGTTACCACAACGTTATGAAGTGTTCTGTGAGTTTTCGTTCATCGGCGTGCCGTCGTAGGTGTGTAAAGCCCAACGAAGAGAAAAAGCCCTTGGTTTGGGTCCAAAGCAAAGTGCTCATTCAATTGCATGCCCTCTCGATTATCGAAGCTCTGCAACTTCGTCAGCTTGGATACTCTTATCGGCGGCAATTCCAGGTGTGTTGGAGAGAACGTGTCGCAACACATGCGCATTCTTGTGGAAACAGTAGCATGAATTGCATCGCTTGTCTCGCCAGGAGGTGGCTGACAAGGGGTGGGTCCCTTTCAATGTGTCATGCGAATTTCTAGGAATTTGTGGAGCAGTTCCAGTTCATCGACTTGACTGCGGCAAGTATGGCCGACAAACGAGCCGCTACAGAGGCAATAATTGCTTCGGCAAACCTCCAAAGCGGTGCGCTCTACTGCATTTTGGTATAGCTTGACCTGTCACCGTACAGATAGTGTTATATTTATGAATACTCAATCTGCGGCAGTTTGAATTTCAATGCGGTTTTTCAGGCGCCTACGCGTTGGGAAAAACCATGGTATTCTTGAAGCCAGAGAGTGCAAAGTACTTAGTCCACTTGCAACGCACGCGTCTGTCTGCGTGGGGTCCTCTCATTGGAGTCATAGAGGCCATCTACGTGCAGAAGAAACTGCATACCAAGAAACAAGCATTTTCAATATGCTCGAGGATATGCGCACATGCACGAAGAAAGCTAGACCAGCAAGTATGACCGCCAGCAGCCTTCCATGCATCATATGTGTCAAGCATAGAGGGTGGTGGTTTGTGTCTAGCGTCCCACCGCAGGATGGCGTACAGAGCCACGGATGCATGTTTTCAATTACAAAACACTGCTAGTTCTCTGCACTGCCACGAAGGCGGCAATGCATGCATCACATAGTTAACAGCACTGAACCTCCGGTGCTTCCCCGAGTTTAACTGAGTGCTTGAAGGTCGCTCAAATAACGCATCAGTGAGTGACACTAGGGCAAACGAGTGCGCCTTGCCCGCATGATGAGTGCATCTCCAGGCGGCAGCGAGCAAGTGCCGCAGTGCAATCTACCACTGCCTGCGGACCCTGAACAGCGTGCTGGCCCAGACTTTGCACACCGCGAAAATACCGGGCCCCGGGAAATCATTTCTACGAGTGTTGTCATGAAATGCCACTCGCCAGCATCCTGGCGCAATGCCACGATGAATGGCTGGTGTTTCTGCACTGACGCGCATTTATCCACTTGCATGCATGCAAAGCTAGTCAGCCTATCTCAATTTGACAGGGAAAGAGTCTTTAAGCTTGCAACATCCTTCTGCCTACTGCGGTCAGCAAAATACGTCACTGCACCAAACTGATGCACTCCGACGAGTGACAGCTACGTCCAGGATATTGTTCTGCCGTGCAAAGTAATGTGCCTCCGTGAAAACTCACGCTCGTGAACTTACAGATGACGCTCTATAGCCTATCGTAGATGACTGGCGCAAGTCTACAGAGTATTTGCTGCCTGCGAGCACAAGATCTTATTCTGACGCTTTCTCCTATTCGTTCTATTGCAGCAATACACGAAGTACTCTTGCCGGCCAACCTCTGCTTCTTCCTGCCTGGACTTGCATCCAGCGCTCCCGGCAGCTGCCTCCGAGTACGGCAGCGGCACGAACAGTGTTCAAGCTGCATCCCAGTCATGTATTGCACTCCCGTAAATCCTTCAGAATTTATAATGCCTACAGCACATGCCCAGCAGTTCCTCGTGTACCGCCGTCACTGGAGATTCCGGTGGCTTTGCTGCTGCCCCTCCTGTCAATAGAGCCAGCCGCTGAGGCCAAAAGGGGACCGCTACCGCGTGTTCGATGTGATCATGGTCTACGAATGCTTGTGTAAATGGGGGTCAACGACTCCGCTTCGACCGTGGTGAGACCCCCAATCATCAACAGCCTGATCCACCATCGTGAATGGTTCGACAGAATTCGACCGATCGGATGACTTCGCAGTACTGCCAGTTGTATTACTCAGAGTGCCATGATGTTGTCTAGTACAGTCACCAACACCTCCCTTCCCCCCATCTCCCTCAGCTTTTTTCAGCAGGTGCACTGAAAACGACAAACGCTTCTTCAGAGCTTTGCAGCTGCGGCTCGAGCACAGGCGTTTCCATCGCAGTTCATCAGTAGCTGTTTCAAGGGGTGTCAAACCCCGGCTGCATCTCACGCGGTAATCAGCACCCTGAGGCCATGAAACGCAACAGCGCAGTTCCAGGTGTAATGCAAGCAAGTGATGCGGACTTAATATGTACTTTAAGGGTTGAATCAAAGGAATACGCCGGCGACAGGTGCAGCATATATTCGCTCACATGACGTAAAAGGAGACGCAAGATTGCTGGTCGTTCAAGTGAGTCGAAGATCGGCGTTTGGCCATTGCTTCTCTGCTTGTTAAGCATCTCTGGAACAATGTTGAGAAGCATCTCAATGACGCTCGCGTGCCCATTCTTCACCGCGTAATGCAACGGAGTGTCCCCCTCACTGTCTCGAATCTCAAGAAACTGCCTTTGACTGCTCGCTCCACCTGCAAGGGAATGCATATTGCCAAACGCGAAGCTATTTCGACTTGTCCACACAGGTTGTCACACGTCGGGTGTGCTAACTCTAAAATTCCTGACGACCCAGCGGGTGCTCTCTCATTTCATGCCTCAGTCTACTCGTCGCTTGCATAGCGTGGGCGCTACTATCAGGCCCAGTATGAAAAGACGCAGCCACGACTATGTAGCACGGCAGAGTTGCGCCACACCCAGGAATGCAGAATGCATAAGGAGTACCTATTTGTTCGAGAATCCACTTCAGGCATTTGGGGTGGCCATATGCAGCAGCATAGAATGCCAGAGTCTGACCCCTGTCGCACTTGAGGGCAGTTAGTGGAGGTAACGAAACGCGTTCTTTCAAAGGCTCGTCCTCATATATACATTTAAACAGATCCAGCACCTGCTCGTCATCCCTGCTTGGGCGTCGCAGCATGTGATGAAACACAGACATCCCCGACGTTTTGCTGGTGGCATGCACGAGTTGTCTGAGCACAAAAAAGAAAACACAAATGTACGACCGCAGAACTGTTCAGAATTGCAAAGAACGGATTGTCATCTAAGGCCTTCTCCGGAAAGAGGATGCTGTTTCGGGAGTGGGGACTTCACACTCACGGTTCTTCCTTGAGCACATTAAACACATCCGGTCCCAGCATTTCCACGACGCATTCTGGCCAGCCCGAAACGATTGATGGTTTTCCTTCAGAATCAGCACTTTTCCCATCTGCACCAACCGCGCAACCATCTTCACGTTGGTTCGTCGGCTCCTGCCAATCCCCAGCACTTAGTCCCCGTAAATCGTCTTCCGCCCGTGTCTGTGGTGTTGCCATATCTTCGACACGGCGGACACAACGTGCATCCCTCATGGCTGTGTGATGCCCAGTTGACAAGAAGAAGTCCTCCAAACCGTCTGTATCTGTGCTGGCAGTAGGCATAGAGCATGCGCGGCCCCCTGGTGTGCTTTCACCTCGCTTGCCATCCCCCCCTTCCTCGCCGGCGATGCTGGCAAGCTCGTCGTATAGACTACCTGCTCCGTCGTTGTTGCCGCCTCTCCTGCAGGAAGCAGTGTCTTGTCTTCTCGAAGCTGGTGGGTCCCTCGACGAATTATCTGCAGTCTCCCTGGGCAACCTAGAGATGTCCCCCAGTGCCTTCTCAAGATCTTCTCGCTGAGGTACATGAGCTGCTGGTGAACTGCACCTGCTCCTATCGCCACTGCTATCTGAAATCGTAATGCACTCCCTCGGAGACGTAGCAGAAGGAGCAAGTTCGGATTTGATTACAATCGTCTTAACCCTGCACGCACACGTGGTTCCACCACGTGCATGCGAATCCAAGTTCGAGGTGGATACCGCTGACGCATCGAGGTGCACTGGTTCTTCTCCATTCACCAAACAGCAGCCTCTTTCAATTGCACCACGAACGCTCAACGCTGGCCGTCGTTCGGCCTCCAGCAGCTCACGTTTGGGTTTTCGTGCAAAACTCAGCGTGCCAAAACTTGCAGATGACGATCCACTGAAGAGGCCGATACTTCTGCGAAGGGTTTGCTGCACATGTGGTTCTTGCCCCAATTGTCCAATATTTTGGGACCTGGATTCGGTGCGCAAAATATTGAGCAGGAGGACACCTCGCGAATCCCGTTTATTCGGCTTCTTGCTCCTCTGTGTTTCAAACAGTTCTTGCTGCAAGAATGCTCTCTTTCTACAGTGCTCTTCCTGTTCAAGCAACGCCCGAAGCCTTTGATTCAACTTCATTTGCACTCGTTTTGGGGCCTTTTGCCTGTGCTTCAAATCTGTTACATCAGTTCTCTTTTTCTGTTCCATTTTCTAAACGATGGGAAGACCCACTGCCCGCCGATAACACCACCTCGGAAGCAGGCTACTAGGAATATCCTTCAACTTATACAGACGCGAAAACCGCCCTGAGACGCAACCTGTGGCCAGTTTTTTCTTATGGCTTGCATCAATGGAGGAAAAGCGACTTCCAGCCCAACCTTTGCTGGGCAAAAGTGGGTCTCTGCAGCCGCCTACTCCCACTGTTCTCTGTTGAGAATGGTTGCAAGGCTTTCAGAAACTACCTTACTACAATTCACTCCTTCCCCTCATAAATGTCGCAGTTGCCAAATCCGCTGGGTACTGTTGGCTGCGTCTTGGCCGAATCCCTCTCCAAGTTCTGCGGAGAAGAAGCCAACTTCCAGAGATCGATGCATAAGCATACATTTGAAAGTGTGGATGAAGCCGAAATAACTTTCTTGTGATTATTTTGCTTCGCGGAGATGCGGCGATAACACCGGAAATAAGACCTCTCTAAGGTGAAGCCGCTGCAATCGACGGGCGCACGCTCCTTCACAACAAACGGCAAACTCCTTCTCACGACGCCTAAAGTCATAACCCTCAAAATTCATGAGGTGTATGCTCCATGCAGTTGGGAATTCCTCACATCCAGACTCTGGCGGCTAGCGCTCACGTGGTCTTCATTACCTCACAGACATGCTGCCTACACTCGTCATGACAATAATAACTCTCCCGTCAAATCAACCAGACGAATGCTGTTCTTATACGGAGCAAAGACAATGGATGGGCAGAAACAGCGAATGTGTGCTATCGGGGCTAAAAGGTGTGAGAGGGCCAAATGGGTTGTGTTCCTCCCTTCTTAAAACAAAGGGCATGTCACTGTTTTCACAGGATCCTTTCCGAAAATGACTATTCTACATTTTAGAACTGTTAGAGCCTTTGATGTGGGGGATGGCATACAACGCTCAAACTCTTGTTGCGTCCAGTGGTCCACTGGGGCTTACCAAACGAAGCAAGAGCTGCGACGGTGGTATAGCAGCTGGTGTCCAACTGCAATTTTTCAAGCATAAGAGGCAAAAAACAGGAATTAAAAAGGTGCAAGAATTAACATAATTGCCCGGGAGAACTGTTACAGGGGAAAAAGGGAAATGTTAGTGCAAATCTCTGGACAGATACACCAAAAAGGATTCCCACAAAAGGGTGTGGGGCAGTTTGGCACAACACAATCTCGGTATTTTACCTGTGGACGTCTCACTATGACAAAAGCATATCGAGCCTGACAGCTATCATTGTCGCCCGATCTGCTGTGGAAGTCGTCCTTTTAATGTAAACATTTCATATACGCCACAAACGTCAGTCGTTGCCAAGCTCCCCACCATTACTACCCATCCGTTTTACTGCAGTTACAAAATGTGCTTGCACGCTTAAGACTATTATACCACGACACCCAGTTGATACTCAGGGGCACCCCTACTTTCCTCGACAAAACCCAAGTGGGGAAGGCATCATCTTGGGGAGCGCCAATTTAGAAACCAGAAGAGACCAGATGCAGAATCGTTTACAATTTTATCCGTCAGTTGCAGGCTATAATAGGCCGTACAGTAATAAATAGGAGGAATATTTGAGGTAAGAGGCTAACGCTAGAGAACAAAATTTCTCCGAAAGTATATGCTAAACTTACCAGAGAAGTGCAGAGTAGAAGCCTTCTACTGCACGCTTGATGCGTTAAAAACGCCTCGACCATACATGAGATCGCTTTTCTGGACAAAGCTGTTAGCTTGTATTAATACATGTGCATTACATTCAATACGTTTTGAATGCTGCCGTTATGCCAACATTCGTAGGCACGATGTTCCCCCGCTGCTGTAAGTATAATCATCTCATGAATAGTCCTACTACCTATTGCAACCCAGCTGTTTTTAGGCCACAGGTAATGGCTGAACCCATCACGAAGGACAACTGAATTTACTGGGCTTTCGTTGCTAAACTGAGCATTTCGACATTAAGAAAGGTTCCTACCGCTACAATCAACTGTTTTTGTAGCCATGAAAGTTTGTTCGCATCTCTTGCGCGATCCCACAACTACGTGGTGCATGAAGTGCAGTAATTACCCAAAACAACCATGTAAAGTATGTGGCTCTAAGGGACCAACACTATAGTCCTAGATGCAGTATATGACGGAAAGTGAATTTTTGTCAGCTACCTCTTTCGAATGTGAGTGTACAGTCCATACAAGGTAAAGTGGAGTTAGGTAATTATTTTCCATGAACTACGCAAACTTAAATATCAGCACAACATAGGCAGTAAACGCTGAGACCCAGAAAGCCCCTCATATTTCTGGTGGGCGAACTAGAATTAGGGGTGTGTAATGCATGTATAATCGTGGCGCCGGGGACTAAATACCCATTGGTCGCTCCAAATCCCATACATATTCAGCGTTTTAGAACGAAATTATCGTCGTGTCGAAAAAATTTAGGATGTCTGTATATTCGAACTTCGAACTGTTCATCAGATCGAGGGGAATGCAACTCAGCCGTTCCCACCGAGGCCTTTCGATTTGATTGCTTTAAGCAGGCTACACACTTCGCGAAGAATGGCACTTTGTTCTTCGATGAGGTCACGTAGAACCCTTGCCTGCGCAGGCTCACAATCAACCAATTCTCCCATCCTTTGGCACCCTTTCCAGTAGCACTGCAACGCAGTCCCATGCTGTAAGCTCACAAAAATGCGCGGATTGTACACTAGCTGTCGGAGGCGTCATTGAGGTGTCGCCCTTACATCCGTCGGACCAATAGCTCCTCTCTGTATCTTTCCTGAACATGCTCGGGAAAGATCACCGACGGCGTGCGATGAAGAGCGCACCCGACACGGTTCTCGAGGCAATAGTGATTGAGTCCTTGTCTTCGCTGGACTCCGGAACCGTCGCGGTGGCTTTGTTCCTGCAGACGACATAGGCAAACGGAAAAGAAGGCACCTTATGCGTGATATTAAGCTTACGAAATGGCCAACACAGGCCGAATATCAGTCAACTGCAATTCTAATGCCGTCATCGTTATCATGAACAAACAGCCTTCCAAACCAACAAACCAAGAAGGCCTTCCAAATGTATGAGCGCGCCACCATGCCACACGGATTGCTTCAGGAACTTCGGGCATATCTAAAACTGCAGATCCAATTCGTTAGACATACGAACAGATTCACGCGCCATTGTGTACAAACTACCTTAAAAGCCGGGCACCAGCAATTAACAGAGCCCAAGCGTACCTGCTCCTTGAATCTCTCCTTTGGTTTGATTTCGCTCTGGGGCTCCTGCTAATGTTGATGAATTTGCGTGCATCAAGGTGGAAACTTCAGTGTTCTGCATGTGAGTCAAGACCGAGGCCAGCCACTCATACAAGTCCATCATCAAGATAAGCTCTGATGCGGCCTTGAACTGACGGATGCTCCCGCGTGGTGGACGTTGATATTCAGGGGAGTGCAGAAGTTGCTGCTGCCGTCCATAAGTCAGGAATTCTGCGATAAACTCGGGGGAAACCTTGGACATTTTCAGTTCTAATGAGTCCACCACCGTCGGTCGGAGTACCAATGGAGTTACTCCTGCACCCCCAACTGCAGCATGATAAAGTGTGTTGGCATCAACACCCGATCCTCTAGTCAACACATCCGGTGATATGAATGGTTGAGCTACTAGTCTGACCACAGGATCCCTCAGGGGAGGCCAGGCTTGATCGGTAACCAGATGCAATGCATAACCTGATATGCGAGCCATTTTGGCCCACAAGTAGCTGTCCGACCTGCATGGCACCTCTGGCTTTGAGGGTGGACGGCGTTTGGGGGAAAACAAAGGGATTAAATCTTTGAGTGGTGGTGCGGAAAGTGAATTGCAACAGAGCTGAAATACAGCCCGGAGTAACAAAGCCGAAACGTCAAAGAGCCACGTTGGATACGAAGTAGTGGTTGCCCTAACGAGGGCTTGCCTGCAAACGCAGCAACATCGTTGAATACAATTCACGTTCAAACTTGTGAAGTTACAGACGCTATAGATAAGGCAAGCGGCGCTTGGTAGGCTGCACGGAACCCTGCTTAGGGTTGCCGTCCAGCAGGCGGCTGGGTTTACGACGACGGATTGCACGTGACAGAATATATCTTCTGAAAGAAGCGCTGGACAACCTGATCGCTCATGAAACATACCGAAAGGCCTCATCATCGTAGTTCCAGAGTTTAAGGAACGCATGCCGAACTCTCCTGAAAGTTGCGGGCTCGGCTGATCCGGTGATGCTGAGAAGGACACCAAAGAATATAACTATAAACGCGAGCTACAGGCCAAATATTGTTGACGTACGTGAGGCCGTTTACAACCAGGTCAGCAAATGTAAACCATGTAAACCTTATGCACTGCAGCAACTGACAATGCAGGGGCCATTGACATGGATTACAGGACAGCGTGACGCCTGCCATTACAAGTTCCAGCACGCACAAGAAATTGAGTGTTCGTTAGAAGCAGCATAAGTAAACAAACATATGCGTGAACGTACATACATGTTTATATATGTACATGGCATGTAGTTTGCATCTGCATGAATCCACAGATTCGAGACCGACACACTGCGAAGCAACAGGAAAACAGCTACACGCCTTGGGGAATGGGCTATACCTCTTTTCATATGGTAGTACATGAGAGGAAGCCACTGGCCCTGCAGCTTCGTCGTACGCGAAGTTTACAGGCCTATCTATTTGATCTTGCAGCAACTCCAAGTAAGCCTCTTCCTGTGCCTGCTGCTTTTCCATGTGCTCATCTAAGAGCATCTGCTGCTGTGCCTCAGTTTTCCGCACCCCATTTCGTCGTTCTGCAGGCGAAGTGTCATTTTTCCAGGTTGTCGGGGTAGGCTCAGATGGCTGCGTTGGATTCCTGCACGATGCTGGATGGTTACCAGAAAATTTGGGCTTAGGGGAAGTTTTTGATTTCGTCGACTCCTCTAACTCGGCCAGCGACCTAAGGATGGCAGCTGCAACATCTTGCATACGTGGTGTTGCAGCTTCGGGAGGGTATGCAGGGGGCAAGTTCCCGGCCCTGCAAATGTCAGCAATATCACAGAACAGCTTCAGTGCTTCTAATACGAAGTGAGAATTGGAATGAACTGAAAATCGGGTCCTGTTGGAATGATGCTCCAACTATGCTCAGGCTTTCGAGGCACCAAAACAAGCGGACGAATGGCCTAAAGACTCACTGGACGTCTTCCACTTCGTTTGGCTGAAGCCCCAACAGCTGAATGAGGGCATCTGGTGAAAGGGGGCAGTGCTGCCCTGCCATTTTCACCAGCTGGGATGCAGATGCTCCGTTGTCTTGGTGCATCAGCACGAATAGGGAATTGTACAAGATAAAGCGCATGCGGTACTGTGCTGCCTGCAACAACGTCTTGTTGCAACGCCTAACGAGCAGCAACTTCGACAACGAAAGGTATTGGCATATCTTCGCCACGATGCGGGGACTTTCCCACACACTGTTGGATTCAGGAGGTCCCTTTGATGAAGTGCAAAGCTGCCTTGCCAAAGGCAACCGAACATATTGATCCGTCCTCATCTCTGCCTGAACACTTCTCCGCTTCTGGCTAGATGTATCTCCCAACATCTGCCTACAGTTTCTAGGTGCTGTGGGAGCTGCGCCAGGTTCCTCTTGTTCGGTTTTGGCGGTTGACACCTTACAGGAGCCCTTATTATGCGCAAATTTGTTTGAACGGAGTCCACACTCCTGAGTGGCTGAATGCTTTTCGTTGGCGTTTGGTGAGTCCTCGTTTATAACGGAAGCATCCCGCATATCATGACTGCATGCAGTACTTGGAACTGGCAGCGCTGGCTGCTGTCTCTCGCGCTCACACGCCAGATAGGCGGCACACGCTGAGCAAAGAGGAGCTGGCTGTTCAAGATATGTGCGGTCTTCTAGCCCTCGTGGCAGGGCACCGTGCTGTTGTTGATGTCTTGCCATGGGTGCAGTCACCGACCGCTTGCCGCAGCGGGAGCATTTGCCTGTCTCACCAGCGGTTCCCGCATCCTTTTGGCCAGTTCCACTCTCCCCACCAAGTCCCGTTGAGTCTACGTGGGGATTACCACCTTCATTGCGGGCCCAACTGCAACAGGGGCAGCAACAGCACTGTCGATCAGAGTATGTGATGCCCGATTCAGGCACTGGAGCTGCCCGTAGGCGGCAGCAGCGGCAGCCACAGGGCATACCGCATTCGTCATCATCCCTGCCGACGACAGGATCTTCTGGAGAGTCAGCGGGACAGAATTTGGGTCGTCGTGATCGAAGAGCAGCTGAGAAGCTAGCAGGGGGAAACTGACGCTGTCCCCCTACCCATTCATGGTGAGCAGCCGGGGTGCCTGACACCCCATATGCCCGCATCCAAGAAGGAATCGTCCAGATATCCGGCTTCGGTGCAGGGATTACGGCGTCCACACCTTTGCACATATGCAGACCACTCCCACTGACCCCGCGCTTAAGGGGCAAGTCAGTGGATACTCTCTCCGTTCCTGAGGGCTTGCAGCTGCGACTTCTTTTTTTGGGTACCATCCTCTGCCGGGCTCCCCTTGTATTCGGCTGCTTCCGAAAAAACAAGAGCTCCCTGGGGGAGAAGCTTACCCCTAGCTGTTTGAGGGTTTCCTCATCGTCAGCCACAGGTCTACCAGTACCAGCAAAGTGGCAGGTTGTGCTCACGTTGTTACTGGCCGCCAAGGGTCTTGTATGTACTGCCTGTCTGCCTACACTTGTCTTGACTTCATCCGGAGCTCGCAGCGACTGCTGGAAACCCCAAATCCCGCAGCCCAACTGGGATGACGGCTTTCCCGCTGGCACTTCTGCATTTAATTCATGATGTTGTCTTTTGGAATAAAAAACTCCTCTGCGCTGATCTTCGAATTTTGTTGTCTGATTCTCCACTTGTGGTTCTGAGAGGTTGGCATGCACGCCGCAACAAGGCAGTGTGGTGCCGTAAAAGGCATTGCTGCCGTTGCGCCCCCGGTGTTGCGATGGCAGGCCTGCAGGGAGAACTTCCTTAGAACTGTTTTCTAGCTGCGACGGCAACGTGCTCAGCAAACTGAATTTCTCGGGCTCGGGGTGGAGAGCAGGTGGCAGCGTTGACGGCACGCAACATCCTGCAGGGCCCTGAGCCCCACCCCCTGCATAGCCACATGGCAGGGGATTTGAAGTAGCCTGTCTCGAAGCATCTTTTGGATTGGCATGTAACGGCCAGGCATCGCTCGCTTGCAGAAGAGGAGGAGAGGCCTCAAGTGCATAGCCCGGGAGGACTTGGCGCCGCTGACGGGTTGGACACCAGTCTTCACCTGACCGTCTACCTCTTCCGCTGGGCATCCCAGCGGCCGGCAGGGCGCAAGGGCTGATGCGCGCCAGTTGCCGTTTCTCCGTAGGTGACACCCACTGTTTCGCCTCCCCCCCACAATTCATAGCCACTGTTGCGGACCGACGAGGCCTCGGCAGCCCTTGCATGCTCTCGTGAGAAAAAAGCTCAAAGGTATATGGACTAAGTTCGCGTCCGTTCTGATGTAAACCTTCCATGGTGGTCCCGTAAGACACAGGCCGCCTAAAAAAGCGCTGCTGCCGCAGAATCTGCTCTTGCCGTTCCCGTTGCAGCTGCAGCAGTTCGTTCTGTCTACGCGAAACTGCGGCTGCCATTCCGCCAGGCGCACCTTCTTCCAGACGTTCAATGTATCGCCAGGAACTTCGCGAACAGCCGGGTCCCCCTTCAAAGGCGCCTAATTCGGCATCCTCACCTCCACGGTAGCATGGCGCTGCACGGCAAACGCGCCGCTCGATAGGCTCCTGGGGGGGAGGAGGAGGCAGTGGCCTGTCCTGAGGAAGGGCAAAGGGAGTCGTCCTAGAAAGACGCAATACTTCTGCTCGCATTTGCTGTTCCTGCTGCCTCAGAAATCGTTGCTGCGACATGAGAGCCGCAATGTCCCAATTTTCCCGGGGATAGGTCATTCTTGGAAGCAGCTTTCCGGCTGTCGTCACTAAGGTGTTCCGAGAAGAGAAATGCAGAGCAACCAGACAGCCTGCGTATGCGGAGCACTGCTAGTTGTGTGGAGGGGGAGGGGGGAATCGCCAGCATCGGAACCCGCGGAAACCCAAGTGCTTTTCTTCTAGGGCAGCCGCGGTGCAAGCCCGGAAACCCCAGGGCAGAAGTCCCGTCGGGTTCCTCCTATTACGAATCTTGAAACATCCTCGGTGAAAGCCATAGGCGTTATGGGCCCTTAGAATATCCGGAGAGCGCGAACAGCACGTGGGACTGCCTGTCCTTGATTATGCTGCCTAGTGTGAGCTGGAGCTGACGGGATGTTCCAGCCGCATCTTTAACTTCGGTTGTTTGCGTATTTGAGGGCTGTTCGGTGTTGTATGCTCAATGTGACGTTTAAAAGAACAAAGCTACCTCGACTACTGTATACGGAGCTCGCCAAGCCATCAATGCTCCCACGCGGGCGTTCGACAGACTGCAAGCAACACCTCCCGGCGGCAGGTTCTTAGTAAAAAACGTGCTAAGCCGAGCATGCACGAGAAATTTTCTTCAAAACAACCAAAGGAACCGTGATACTTCAAGCACTTGGACGAGAAGGCCTAGAGCCCAACGCATGTGTAGCCACTGCCTACACATGCGTTGGACGGTCCGTGGAAAAAAGCGGGAAAAAGTGTTATTCCACTTGTTGTTGCCCAGCGTTTTACAAACTTTCACTGAAAAATCTCTCAAACGGGACTCATATGGGGAGAAGAGGGGCTCCTCCCTTCGACGAGGGAGAGTTGATTATTGACACGGCAGCCACTCGACCATCGCGAGCGCTGCCGACACTGAATCCTTCTCGAGTTCGGTTCTAGGTAGAAAGAACAAAGTGCCAATAAATCTGGCGAATAAGCATAAAAGAGAGAACACTTTGCTTTGGAGGCTGTAGATTTGCTCCAAATGTTGGTTTATTTACATGCGTATTCCTACAATCATACCATCAGACACGCCGTTGTTGTGCAGTGCGCTCGAGGAGGATCGTGGGAAAAGCTGACAACTACTAAAGAAACAATTTTAAGAGAGATAACACCAAAGGTGGTGTTAACCTTCTATGAGCCCTCCTTATAAAGTCATTCAAGGGATCGAGTCCTTCGAGGGGACCGACATCTCCAAGTAGTTCTTTGACACACACTCCCAGCGGCCGTCACTCAAGCATCAACATTGCGTTCGACGCGTCATCTCTTGAGCCTCTTTATGCTTCAAGGAACCGAATTGTATTCTCCCAACAAGCGACTTTAGGTGCAATTCGGCTGCTTCCCTACCTAGTCCCTTTGCTTCGGAAATTTCCCAACTGCAGTTCTGCGGAAGCTGGGAAGTTACCCTCTTCACTGATCATATATAGGTTATAATTTTTTCCATAATGGCTATAATATTTTCCATGTTTAGGTGTCAATATTTTTCCTGGAAGCCATTTTCTTTATATTTCATTGCCTGTGCGGAATTGTACTGCTTGCCCCGCCTAATACCGCCCAGATACTTGTCAGTGCTTCGAAGTCGTGCATATCGAAAGCTTCCTCACCCTGGGTTCACTTGCAGATTACTTTTCTGTTCCTATCTGATCACTTAGCCTACGTGAGAGTTGCTGCTTTTTCTCAGGGGGGAATAATACCATCGCTGCAGACCGATTGCCACTTTTCTCTACGTATTACTGATAAGGAGTAGGCCCCGCCTTAAAGCGGCGCTCCGTAAACTTTTGGCAGGACAGTTTTGGCCTGTCGAGAAAGCGGAAACCTAGGAGTAGACATCCCAAATAAACTTCTGTTCCAAGTCCTGCAGGCGCAGCTGGTACTTCGCTTTCCGAACGATATATTATAATAGCCTCTGCAGTGCCCAGTTATCTACACACTAGCTCCTCACATATGCATCATGTAAGTGCACGGTTCCTCAAATCAGCTTGTTCAGTGAAGACGGCACTGCACCGCACAGTTTTATAGGGGATCTCTAAGGTTGCTATCCTTGCTCGCTGCTCCCGCAAGAGCTATTATTCACACAACCTATAGTGCTAACGAAAGGTTATGAAAACCAGAGTGTGTTCGACATCAGGGGGGACGGGTTTTGCTATATTGGCAATTAGGTTTCAAGCAGCGTTTTCAATTCCATTCGCAGAACGTGTTAGAGATTCAGCTCTCGAAGCCACGTCACATGCAAATTTCGTATACCTTCTTCGTTTAGATTGGGCCTGCACGAGCCTGTGAAGAGGAGGTGTTGGGTTGAGCACATTTCTGTTCTCCTTCAGTTTACTCGATGCCGTACGGTGCTGACCTGCCCCATATGGGGACATTTTCTCCTGCCATCAATGCTGGTTTTATCAAATGGTACGGGGAATCACTAGCTGTGTATGCCCGAGTAAATTCCTCAGGAAAATCTACCTTCCGATTCCATCTTATAGGAACGAGCACGTGCGCAGAGCGTCGTAAAGTCGGGTCGGATTACACTGTAACAGGTACTCGATCATGAGCAACACAACATCCTATCTAGATATTCCTGTTCATTACTTGCCCCCAATGCTCACTACAAATCCATCTACCTACAGGTAACAAGAAACTGCTGCCAGGGTTGGGGAACGACCCCTGCACGAGCGCCTTCGGATGCTGGGCAGTGGCATCACCTCAGTAACTCTTCTTGGGTTGGGGTGTCTGCATCCAATAGAGGCTCCCAATCCATTTGCTCTCCGCGAAACATCTCACGGGCAGGCGAGCACACAACGCAGGACGCCCGCAGAACCGAGCCGCGGCTGGGCAGCGGCAGGGGCATATCGGTTGAACCCGATGCTCTTCCCCCTTTTCCGGCGCTATATTTCCTTCCGTCCCTTATCTACGAATTATCATCAACAAGACGGTGTATGAGGCATGATTAAGAGCTGTGAGCATGTGCACCGTGGCTTCTGCAAAGTTGTTATGTGCATACCTAGGGCGCATGCGTAAGATGCCGACTGATGACCACGCAGGAATTCAACAGTTCTCTATACTGTTAACGCAGCAAGAGGGCCACTACCTGTGCTGTAAGAATTTTTAGGTGCTACTGTTGCATCGAGGTGCGTTGGAGCTGCTTGCCAGGTCACCTCATCTCCCTACGCCTCAGTAACCTAAACGGCGGTGTGCAGGTTTGGAACCGGAAATCGCTCCAGTTTCTTTTCGGAAATGCTTGTCTTAACTGTGGTCCCCATTGTGGCTCACGGCGGTCCCCTGCGAACATCGGGGACCTTGGTTAAGCAGCCCCCATTGCAACTTGGACAACTATTGGAAATAGCAGATAGGCAGCTGCTTTGCTCAGCGTAGAGAAATTGCCTGTAAGCACCAGTACACGTAGCAACTTCACACAGAGCAGGATACTTCACAAACCGGGGGCATTGAAACAGAGACCAACGGCATCGCATGGGAAACTCAGGGAACTGCTGCACGCAGATGCGCCGAAAATCAAGAAGTGTAGTGGGGAGGAGAACGAACACAAGAGAGGCGCCAATTAGAAAAGTGTGCAGCGATAGACTCGCCGGCTGCTTTCCCCACTGCTCTTTGGCCCTCCTAAACACTGTGCAGTTAGCGTATGCTTCCACCCAAGAGGGGGGGAAGACAATGACCGCCCGCCACAAGACTGGGTAAGACAGGGTACTCGACAGGTGCAGGCGCGGGCGGAAAGGTCCCCTGGAATATGAGGATTGAGTAGACTGAACGCGTTGTATGATCAGACCTTGGCTCTTATGCAACAACGTACAAAGCGAAACGTTCATAGATCCTCAGACCGGCGCCTCCATGTAATTCCGTCAGAGGCCCCGTCACAACTACACTCTTGTTGTGAATACAGTCCTAGAAGTAGACTGTATTCACAACTAGACTGTAGTTATGAATAAAGTCGTGGAAGCCCTGAGTTATAGGGCACAGTGAGATTACACGTAATACTGACGAATTCCCCTCATCCTTTCGCAGGCTTCCGGCACATGGGCACAGGGAGCGCCTGATGGAAGGATCTGTAGTTGATGGCAACGCAGAGGAGATAACAAGGGCAAAAAGAGTTCCTCACATGAATAGCCGACCTACATGCAAGTGAATATACATGAAGACCACCTTCAAACAGACCCAGTAACAGTAGCCGCAGGCTGCGGTAACTTACTGCACTTAGGTGCAGTTCCCAGGCGGTCGACCTAGCTGCACATATCTACCTTAGGCTAGGTGGAAGCAGCCATGTACGGTGAAGCATAGATATTTATATAGATGATGTCCACTAAGGGTGCAAATGGAGCATATGGCTTGTACTTGAGAAGATCGTAGCTCTACCTGATTTTCATGTATATGCCGACTCGATGCCTTTTATGCCTGTTACGGTTGTTGAGCAACTTCGCTAGAGAAACATAGGTAGTTGTGAAGGCATTTTCATGATTTTCATGATGAATATTCAATTATTTGACTTAAAAACACGATTAAAAAACTCTTACTGCTCATTTCATAGTGAATTGCCGACTGCTTCTGTGACCGCAGGGTCAGAGACAAGTGTTTGGGAGTGGCAGTACCCTCGGGGAGAAACACCGAGAGATAGCGAACCAATGATTTTATTCTCCTCTACCTTTTCACCCCGTGTACTTTTGCATTTTCAATGTTTTATATTTCAATGCATTTAATGCATTAAATCTGTCCTACACCGTACTGCCTGCGTGCATGCACAACAGGCGACCACCTTCGAATCTGCCGACTGTACGAATACATTGCTGAATAGTTGATTTTCGCAAGATGAACGTTTAAAATGCCTCTTATTTTTTCTTCTCTCGAGTCATTCGAACAGTTTCAAATGTTGCATTTCCCCCCTCTTTCCGTCCTTCTTGTGGTCTGCAAGGCGAGCCCGGCGGAGTTGACAGACGAATACGTCTAAGACGTCTACAAGAATTTTCTTTTGAATTTAATTTATCAACCACTTGAAATTATTTGCTATAAAACCATCGTAACACAAGAATTTGTGCTTCCCCTTCCTCTCTAGGCCCCCCCCCCCCCCCCCC